CTTTGGTATAGATTAGAGAAATGTGTGGGGGTTTTTTTTTACAGTGCATCTTGACAGTTATTACACGTGTAACTTAACCGTTCACCCTGTATCTTTTTGTGAAACTGTACTTTGACTTTGACTCAATTGAGATGTGAAAAAACTTGAGATCAGCCATTTTTGTGGGCTCAATGATGCACTAGAGGAAGTAGAAAGTGTCCGATGGCTCTTTATTTTATCCTCCAGCCTCCTCCAGATAGTTAGATCAGATTATGTTGTCGTAATAAGTCAGCCCCCGTCCAACCAAGTCCATCTCTAACACACCTAATGAGAGAGCCTGAAAAAAAAGTATCTCAAACTATTTCAGTACCATTTATATCGTATAAATACAGTGTTGAGTGAACAGTTGTCCACACGGAGGACAAGTCACATAAGGTCATCGCTGTTCGAGGAGCACCGTTTCAAAGCATATTCGTGGAAAGTTGACTGGACCGAGGCTGGAGTCGGTGCATCAAGAGCCACCACGCACACGTCTTCAGCAAATGGACGACGACTGTCGCATTCCGATAGTATCGAGCCGCTCCTGAACCAGAGACATCAGAGGTGTCTTAGCCAGGCTGAGGAGAAAAAGAACTGGACAATTGCTCAGTGCCTTTTTTCCAGATGCGACGGCACATTGATGTAGTAATTTGTGCTAAAGGAGCAAATATTTACTGCATGGACAAACTTGTCAGAAGTTGGACATTTCTGAATTGTAAATGTAATCTTTTTTGATTCATCTTGCATGGGAAATATTTGAATATTTAGAGATGGGTGACCGGATTTTAAATTTTTTAGGAGCTGTAAGCCGTAATCAACAAAATATCACGTGTAATGAATCTAAAATATGTAAAAGTTAAACTTTTTGAAATAAATTACGAACAACAAATTCAATTTTCATGATGTTTTTAATTTTTTAGGTGTACCTGTATGTGTATGGCTTGATTTTAACACCACTATTGACCCCAATCTTTGGTCTTTATTTATGCTCCATGTAAGAAGAATATAAACTTAGACAAAAAAAAAAAAGGTCTGAAAAGTGGATTTGATCTCAGGACTCATATTCAGTGCAGTATTACAAGATTCAATATAAAGCAATAATACAACTGTTACCTTGGGGCTCCTTGTTATTTCAGTTTATATTTGGTGGTAAAACACACTCACACAGTCGGATTAAAGTTTAGCTATGGGTCATAGGGGATTCTGGGAGTGTGGATCTTTGTCCTGTTACAAAACACACACGTCAGGTTGCACAGTATCCCTCAGTGAATGGCACGTAAAAGAAACTGTAAACATGGCTGCAGACCTTGTATTAGCCTCAGCTGAACTTCACACAGACAACAAACGACTCTTTTCTTCTTTCTCTCTGTTTCCATTCTCCCTCATTTGCATTATTTGTTCGGAGAAACAGATTTAGTTACAGAATTTTTTCTTTTCTCTCTCTGCCGCACATGCATCTTCTGTTTCTCCTCCTCTCACTTTTATCCACACGCACAATCTCCCATACGGGTCAGACAGGTTGACTGCATCAAACTCAAGAGTTCAACGGAGCAAGTGACGCCTGTGTGTGAGAGAGAGAGAGAGAAAGAAGGAGAGGGGGAGGAGAGACAAAGATGTGTCCAATTTATAGTCTGTGAGGTCTATGCATTGCTCCTATGGTTTCATAAATCTTTCCTCTCTCTCCTCTCCTGTCTCCTTAATTCCATCCCTGGGCTAAATTCATTTAATTCCTACATTCAGAGAGTGTGTTGGGTTTTGTGGTTCGTGTGTTGTTTTTGATTTGTCTTGCAGCCACAAAAGCTATTAGAGATTTTTTGTCCCCCTCTCTTGCTCTCACTCTCTCTCTCTCACACACACACACACACACACACACACTAAGCCTAACATAACTGGATTAGGACTCAGCTATTTAGAGAGAGAAGGAGTGAGAGCGAGTATTGAGGTCAGCCTAATAAACATTCATCTCATATCCCAGCCTGGCTTCAGCCGTACGTACAGCCTGTGTTTCAATGTATTCCAGCATATGAATACGCAGCATGTGTTTCAGTGACATGAACACACTGTGCTTCTGTCTCTGTGTGTGTGTGTGTGTGTGTGTGTGTGTGTGTGTGTGTGTGTGTGTGTGTGTGTGGGGTTTGGATTAGGATGTCCTGCACGCTGCGTACATGATGCCTTTTTTGGTGGGTTGTTAAATTGAGTTGCGTTTGCAGTGAGAGGTTTTCAACCTGCCCACAATGGCTAAAAGGGGATGAACAAAATAATGGAACACCTCAGTGGATCATACAGTTGACTCAGTTTTAACCCAGTGCTCCTAATAACATAATAAACTAGCATTTTTATTATTTATTCCTGTTTGTGTTTTACATGCTGTATTTTATGTTTTTGTGTTGTTTGTCCCTTCTTGTATTTATATTTGAAGCTTTTTTTCAGACATTGCGTGAACAGCACTCCCTGGTAGAGGAGATAATTTATCTCAATAGGCCCTTCCTGGTTAAATAAAATAAAATAAAATAAAAAGCAACTAAGTTTGTACACGATATACATTTTGCAATACCTGTTTCTTTGCATTTCTTATTTTATTCCTATAAAGCAATCAGTTACGGTATAGAGATACATAATAAAAACAGAGATGCTGAGCATTTCACAGCTTTAACAAGAATATAATATGTATAACACAATATAATACATTATAGTATCGTCATGGCAACTCACCATCAGGCTCTTTATCCCGCTGGCCAGCTTGCTCTTTGCTTTCACTGAGCGGTGTTACACCAGTGACATTAACACGCAGGCAAAAACTTAAACAAGAACTCTGTGGTACGAGGGGACAATGTTCTTTTCTCTCAGTTGAAGAAAGTAACTCATATTTTGATCCACTTTGTGTGTGTGTGTTATTTGTGTGTTGTTCTCTTTAATCATTTCCTGTGAGTACATGTTATCTTAACCTCAAAAGATGTTCCGTCCCTGATTCATCCACACAAAGCTCTCATACATGGTCTTAAACCATAAACTACATTTACATCAGTACATTCATCAACACTGAAACATCCTGACAGCTCCTCTCTAACAGCCTCTCTGTCTCTCTCCTACTAGAGATGTTGATTGAGTGTGTGAAGAACAAGGATCTGAAGAGGGTGAGTAACAGTTTCATTAACCAATCCATCATCTTGCATTTCTACGCTCATCCCCGACATGCATCATTTCAGCCCAGAGCTTTAGGCTACTGGAAATCACCTGCTGCTCGGTGCCAAACTGCAGGCGGACACAGTTTGAGCATCGCTGGTGTACACAGGAGTCAGTGCAGCTTTATAAGATCATACATCAGATCCAAAAAACCTGATGCATCTTCTGTTTCTCTGTAGTTGTCCGTCAAAAATGTTGCGTCGAAACTTGCATCTTGTTTTCATTTCAAAGCCCATCTGACCCTCCTTCACTAAAAGCTGCAGGAGCTGCACCTGAAGGGGGCGGACCTCACAGCGCTGGACCAATCGGACTGCAGCCTGTTGCACCACGCCGTCAGCACGGGAAGCAAAGAGGTGGTCCGCTACATTCTGGACAACGGTAACTGCTGCAAACCAGCATCTAGTGTGAATTACAGATTACCACCTAACCATATGTTGTAATAAGCTGAGAGATATGAGATTCTGAAACAGAACAAATTGTGAATAACTTAGACAAACAGTGACGCACGTGACTCTGGGAAATGAAGGATGGAATCTATATAAACAATGATGATGATCTGGTCCTCTTACTTGATAAAGATACAAAATTCCTGAATACAGTATTGACAAAGAGAGGAGACGGGGAGTTTTACTGCTTCAGGACGTCTTTCTCAGTCAAAGTGAACAACATCTACAAGAGGTGGCACAGAGATCATAGTTCTTCTTGATTATTCAATTTGAGAAACGTCCTATTTATTTGTTAACAGTCCAGCTGTTTGCATCTGGTTCAGATGGGTTGCCAGTTGCTTGATCCCAGCAAGTACAAGCTACATCAAATCAAAGAGACAAAATTAACTGTGAGCAATGACTAAAGACAAATATGTTAAATATATCAACACATAGATTTCATCAGACTGGATAGAGGAGGAAGATGTTTTTCTTTTACTGCTGATTCAAAATGTGACATTGCCAACAACACACATTTTGATCGGTTAGATATGTACACGTCAGAAAAAATAAAAGCAGCAGTATCGCTACTCACCGATGTGCAAGCTTGCATTGACTTAATAAATACATTTGAACTATGAAAAGAAAATACATACAATCAGCTTTCATACAGTAGCCAGGAATTAATCTTTCAATTGGCAAACAATGAGCCTTTAAATGGGGTCGTGCTTACTGTGTTTCATTGATGTTTTCCCCAGATGATTGGTTAATATAAAGTTTTTCTTCATAGTTTCATAACATATCTGAGGAAAGGTATATATTGCTCTTGTCATTATGTCTTTGTATTTCCTGCATTACATTACTCGACATCAAGCTAAATATTTAGCTCCTGTGGCTCCTAGACACCAACGGTAACTAATATTAGCGTCCATGCTGCTGTTGCCTAGCAGCAGTGATGAGCACACTGTGTACTTTAAATATTCATCATTACAAGCCTATGAGTTCCATCTGAAGGCAGCATATATCACATTGTCTCAGTTAAAGCATCACCCCACCACACTGATTACAAGTTGACAACGTGATGAAGAGAATTAAAGAGAAAGGACTTGTTTGATTTGATAAATCCTGTAGAAACAGATGTTTTGATTCACAGTGTAATACTCATGTCTGCCTCTGAACAGCTCCTAACGACCTGCTGGATGTCACAGAAAAACTTCAGTAAGTACCGTCATGGTTACTGTTGTCATCTAAACCATGCAACAATATCAAATATTAAAGTTAACTTGAATGAATTATAAAGAGGTTTTAAAGTGCCCATCTTAAAATAGTTTTCATTTTATTCTGTCACAATAAATTGAAATAGTTTCACGGACATGTGAGAAAAAAAAAGTCTTGCTCTGTGATACAGCTCCGCTGGGCCCGGCTCTGTCTGTATGTGCCGGGCATCTGAACTAGTAAAGCAAATTTTAAAGAGAATAAACATAAGAAAGCAAACAGAAGCGCCGGGGGGTGCCTGACTGTCAGTGGTGCTTGACTCCTAGAAGACCTGAGTTGCTGTTACCTCATACTCACTCGCTCTCTCTCCCTCTCTCCCTGTGTCTCTGAACTGTGGGGACCACCAGTGGGGAGACGGTCCTTCATCGAGCCGCGTCTCTTTGCCACAGGACCATCTGTCATTATCTGGTGGAAGCGGGGGCGTCACTGATGAAAACAGACTTACAGGTAGGCTCTACCACCTCACACTGACTCCACAGGATGATCAGTGAGGCTAAAATGAAGCCCAGAGTGACAGCTATAGGCTAAATGGGATCGTTGGAGCTGGTTAACATCTTCATCTGCCTGTGCATTGAAACTGTGCGGGTGTGGTGACCTGTAACCGGCACCTGAGATTGGATTTCTGCTTTAGTTTTTCTAACTTCTTCTGCAGCCACTGGGATGGTTTTTTGCAGCCAAGTGTGAAGTGACCATTGTGAGAATTTGACATCGCTAGGCCACTGTGCTCTGCTGAAAAACAGTCACCCTCAGGTTTTTGAGGCTCTCTCACTGATGGACGTGCAGCGTGAGCAGTGATGCAGTCCACATTCCAACCCTCACTAGTGCGCTCCAGGTATATATTTTTTATATATATAATTGTAGAGCAGGACTTATCGATTTCACTGTCAGATTTTTTAAGTCATTCACTCAAAACCCTGCACCTGCCCTCAAATAGCCGGTGCTTGCGCATAGATTTGCATGTGCTCAAACTTTGCACTTGAATTTTAATGTCTGGACCAATTTCCTGAGCTCCAGCTTCAGGTCTTCTCCTTGCACACATGAAACATCAACTCTTGGACCTTTTTCTTCCGCACGAGGACCGAAAGGGACCTGAAATGAGTCCCTGGTCAGCAGCAGAATCAACGTTCTCAAGCAACTAATACTATACTTTTTATGGAAACAGAATAAGTTACCACAAGAGCAGAGGATAAATCCAAGAGAAGACATTCCATGCACACACAGAAGAGAAGAGCTAAAGCTGGAGCACAGGAAATCTGTCCAAGCAACAAAACCTCTCAGTGTAAGCGCATATTAGGCACAAGCAGAGTGAATCTAGACACAAGCTACAGCAATTTGAGTGTGAGGGCAGAGTTTTGAGTGAAAGCATTACAAAATCTGAACGTGAAATCAAACTGAAAGGCCACGCTCTTCAATAAAGAGACAGACATACCAGTTACAGAAAGAGATGAAGCTCAGAACATGGACATCTAGAAGAAGCATAGAAAGACGTGACATTTTCTCACTGTCCTATCTTGAAGTTGAAACTAAACTTACTGCATTCATACATTTATTACAGTCACTTTATGCTGGAACTACTTCCCCAAGCTCACATTGCTGTCCTTGGAAAAGTTTGTCGTGTTATTTTTTCACTGTGTTTTTATGGAGAACCCTCCTTTGTAAAGTTCGGCGAGGTCGAGCACCATTGTGGATGTGGATGAGTTAGAACACTGTACGTGACAGTGGGCCAAACAAATGAACACGGCAGAGAAATTAAGAGTTCAGCATTAGCATTTCTCCTGAGGGGAGTCGTGGCGGCCACCGAAGGCACCGCTGCGCTGGCTGCGGCGGCGGTGGTGTGTGTGCGTGGCATCCTCCCCTCGTTTTTGTTTCCCATAGAGGTTTCAACCGTGTAGAAAAGCTCCTATAACTGTCTGGACTCAGCAGTGACCTAGATACAGAGAAGTGGGGGAGAGAGGGAAGAAAGACAGGAGGGAGGGAGAGTAAGAGACAGTGCAGAGGAAAGAGAGACACTGAAAAAGAGACAAATGACTTGAGGAGACCATGATTGGAACATTTTGCTATAAGATACTCGCTCATTCTTTATTATTATGGATTCTTTATGCAAACTTGTGGCATCAGGAACAGTTGTGTTGTGCTGGTCTCTGCACTGTCTCGCTCTTTCTCTCTGGGAATGTCTCCAAATAAACGGCAAAGAAAAATGTGCACACACACACACACTCACACAAACACACACTGGACTCAACTAATTAGTGTCTGTTCTAAATTCGGTGGCCCCTTCCACATAAACAGCCGCTTAGAATACAGTACGTGTTGTGTTCTGTTTCTTTCCAAGGACACATGCTGTGTATTTCATTTCACATTCAGCTGTTTCTCATTATCTCCGCTTTATCAGTCGGAGACAATGCTACTCCAACAACAACTGCACTTTTCAATTATCGAGAAATAAGAAATGGAAAAGCTGTCGACACAGGCCTGTAAACTCACTATCACACAGGCAGCTGGAGCCTAATGAAATACCTCGGTGTTTCCAGTGCGGGGTAGAGACTGGTCACTGTGGCAAGTGGTAACAAAAGCACATTTTGTTATGAGCAGGAATCAAAGCCTAAAGGCTTAGCGTCTGACAGAATGAACAACATATTGATGCTGTTGTTCGAGGCTCAGCAGAGGTCTGACATGGGGAGGCCGTCACAAGAGGAAAGACGACGGGTCATTAAATCCACATCTTGAGGAGCATGAGCGTGTTCAGCAAGCTGCCAATCTGCCCATTAGACTATAAGATACTCAAATTGGACAAATCTTCTGTGCTGTTTGTTCAGCAGATAGGTTTTAAGTAATACGGGGAGTTTTAGCACAAGTAACAACATTCCCAGTGTGCGTTCGTCATCGTTCACTGCTCAGAGCAAAAAATAGAGTTCTTAAGATGTAGGGATGCAGCTGGTGGGCTGGGCTCCCACTTTACACTGATATACACTCACCAAGCACTTTGTTAGGGAACCTGTACACATGCTTGTTTATGCAGTCATCCAATCAGCCAACAATGTGGAAACAATGCAGTGTATAAATACTGCAGATACAGGTCAGGAGCTTCAATTAAAGTGATACCGCACACTTAAATCTACATCATGACATTTATATATGTTTGACTCTCAACTCTGAGATAAAGAGTTTGGGGATTTTTGTTGGAGGCTTTTGATTATGGACTCTCTTGCTTTATACTTTTACCTATTTCCTTGTCATTAGATTTGTGTAGAGTAGTTTTTCCCCCCGTGAGTTCTCCGCTTCCTGTCTCTGTCCTGTTTCCAGCCCTTGTGATTGTCTGCACCTGTTCCTCATGTGTTTCACCTGTGTTCAATCAACCCTGAGTGTATGAGTCTCTAATTCCCTTTGTCTTTGTCGAGTGTTTCCTGTGTTTTTTCAGTTTTATTTTGGTACTTCTAACCTAGTGTTTGGGCCGTGCTTGCTTTTACCCTGTGTTTTATTAAAATAACCACATGCACATCTCAACTCTGACAGTTTAGTCTCTGCTCTCTCTGCACCAGCCACTTGTGCAAGCAGTTTAAACGTCTCAAAGCCCTCTACGACTTACCACACTTCTGTTGCATAAGTGTTTGCTGCCACAGGAGTTGAAGCTCATAGCTAGACAATGTAGATAAAGTGGCTGTGTGTGTGTGTTGACAGTTTTCTAAAAGAAAAAACATTAATTGCAATGAACTAAAAGACAGACATGAGGGGGGGTCAGATGTGGAGTGTGAATGTTGGGCAAACATTTCTGAACACGGATCTGTAACTGTGTCTGTCTCTGAAAGTGTTTTTGTGTCTCTTCAGGGTGATACGCCAAAGAACAGAGCAGAGAAGGCTCAAGATGCTGAGCTGGCAGCCTATCTGGAGAACAGACAGCATTACCAGATGATACAGAGAGAGGACCAGGAAACAGCTGTTTGAAACTGTCAAACTTTATGAGCAGGGCAGAAATGAAGAAGCTGTCGTCCTCCTCTTCTTCATCACGATGAGTCCGAGGCTTTAATGTGTCATTCCAGAGCGGAGGCCGAGGAGTGAAGGTGGACCAAATCTAAACCCAACATGCGTTTAATGGAGATTATGGCAGAGATGACAATGATGACAGTGACAGTGACACAAAGGGTCGGAGCTTGTGTTGTTGAAGGTGAAGATAAAGAGATGTAAAGTCTTTCCTCTTCTTCTTTCTACAGGAAAGTAGAAGCCCTTCAGACTGTGGACAGAAACTTGATGAGTTGACACTAGAAACTCTTTCATCTCAAACTAATTCCAACTAAAACTGATCATCTGCCATGAATTAATGATACTGAAACGTTTGGTGGGGTTAGACGGTCTCAGTTTTGTTAATGTCTTAGTTGAGCCTTTCAAGCCTTAAAAAAACTAAATGCACCAGTCAAGAGTTTTTCTTTGGGGCGGGATTATGAAATGAATAGTGAGCGCAGTGAAGACTGGATGAGTTCACTGAATATCCAGCCGAGAAAAAGGGTAGTGATGGGAATGTCAAAGGGTCAAAACCAGAAGGGTTCATCTTCAGGGGGCCACAGCTGAGTTCAGGTTTGTCAGACCAGCATTTTATGAAAAACCTTGCAATGGACCGAAGTTCTGACACTTTGATATGATGGTTTTCACTTCAGGGGATCCTGAAACCTTAAGGGTCCATCTTCAGGGGACCATGAATACCCCCCTCAAAGTTCAGGTGAATCAGACCAATGTAATGGAACCAAGTGCTGACATTTTGATATGATGGTGTTAGGTTCAGGAAACATAAGGATTCATCAGGATCCCATTTATTCTGCCATGAGAAGTGAATATTGGAATGAAGCTGTGTGGTTATTTCACTGAGCATCGTTGTGAACCTGCTTTACTTCTTTACCTCACCTATTCAACATTATCATTACATTGTACATGCTGAATTGTTGATCGAAATGTTCTAGAGATAATTATTATTTATGTGTGTTGGGGGGTACAGCAATGGATCAAATAGACTTGTCTGATTATGGTATTGTTAAACTCGAGCAAACTATATAAACTTGTGCCAAACTTTAAAGTGACATAACAGTTAAAGATATAGTTCACAGAAATGTACGACAAAAATAACAACAATCAGATCAATGCCAAACGCTACCAGTGCCCATGTGGACACAGTCACCTCTGCAGCCACATCACTATCTTCGGATCTGTAGGAGTTTTAGAGCAGCTAAAACAGAGAAGTTTGGAAACGTTTTAGTTTGAAAACTCTGGGGCAGAGTTTTAATATAGCTGATCAGAAACTGAAATGTTTGGAAATGACATAATGAGAAACATTTTATAGAACGTAGTAGTATGGATGGAGCCTGAGAGCTTTGTGTATCTACATAAGTCTGCTAAAGCTTCACTTTGGACGATTTGTCATTTTCTAAATTGGATTGGCAATCACACATTGGAATGCAAATGATATTTTTCAAAAAATATTTGCTTTCATTTGACATAAATTATTTACACAAGTTCATCCTCATTGAACAAAATAAGATCCAGCTCATTCCCAGTGTGTTGTCATCCATCATGTCATCCTGCTAACACACGCACACACACACACACACACACATCTGACCAGACAGACGTTCACACTATGCTCCGAGATGCAAAGCTCAGACGCGCTGCTGGGATGAAAAGCCAACGCTGCGCAGCAAGGGAACGAACCTCCAACTCTTTTATAGTTATGGAGAAAAAAAAAAGTTTCTGTGCGCCAAGAGTTTTGAGGGTTTGATGATTTTTTTTGTACAGCGTATTATTGAAATATTCTCTGACTTTGATTCAACACAGCAGCTGCCGAAGAAAAAACTAACTTCACTGACCTTTTCTTGTTTTGTTTTGCCTGTGGAATTTAGAATTTGAACTGTGTTGGTGTTTTCAGATTAGTTTTGCTTTGACAGTAAACTCTTTCATGTTCTGCATCGCAGTGATTAGAGCTCACTAGGTCTTTTTTTTCTATTACATCTGAGGCCAATATAATGTTAATGCTCTCATATTTAGGATTCTGCTTTTTGTAAACACGTTGGTATAAAATAAATGGTTTTAATTTTCAATTTTTTTCTCTTTAAATTTCTCCCTCTGCACTTGTTTTTATGTTCTTTGATATTTGTATCATTTGTTTTGTAGTCACTATGAAGAGAATAAAAAGATGAAGTATGTGTGAGAAGGTACATTTATAATGTTCTTGTGCTATCATTGATATGGGATTAGATACTTTATTAATTTAGCATTTAATTATTCCTGTTTCGTGATGATATAAGGAGTTGACTTCACTCAGTCTATCATGTGCCTCAAGAATCCCTGTCAAGTGAATGTAGTTGTAGCCCACTTAGGTGATGATGACAGGACGCACGCATGTCAAACAAAACTCGTAGACAAAGTGCGCTCCCAATGTTAAACCAAGTGATTGATTCAAAAGGTCTCACTTATTGTGAAATCACGAAAGTAACAGAATCTGAAGCCACCAAGTGCAGATGGACGATCGTCCTGCATCCTCTTTTTATGAACCAAACAACAAACAAAACAAAAGCCAGGCCTTCGTGTTCTCTGCAGACTGAAACGTCCCCGAAACACAACCCGGAATTGGATGTGTCACGTCCTGTTGGTGCTCCTGTCAGTGTGTGCGTCTCAGTGGGACTCTGCTGTTCTCTGATTTATGAGATTGCGTGCATTAGAAACAACACACTGAACAGATGTCAGGATACTGTTCCTGTATCTACAGGGAGATGAACTGGGAATTGTTGTGATTGTCTCTGAATCACATTCATGTCCTTGAGTTTCAGGATCCTCTCATGTTTGTCTGTTTACCTGCCATCTCGTCTCCACCGGTCACCGGCTCGCCATCTTCAGTCTGCTCCCCCGGCTCCTTCTCCCGCCTGCTGCTCAGTCATCCAGCCCCGCTCACAGCTCAGCATTCCGTGGCTCCGTCCTGCAAACTGTCATTCCCTCTTTGCCCTCAGGCTTTGTCTGTGAGAGTCCTCATCTCTCCAATAAATCATGTTCTTCTTTTCAAACATTCCAGATCCTGAGCTGAAGTCAGAAATATATTATTTTATTGTTTATCACTTGAATTACAGCATTAAAGTAGAAAATAAAGATACTTTTTCTTGTATAATAGAACCCCCGCTCCCTTTTTACCTGATTCACCCTCAGACTGGTGAGTCAGTGATTCAAGTGCAAATAAAATGGTAATTGATTCGGACTGTCAGGCTGAGTTTGAAGCGAGCAGAGACACATACATTCTCTCCGAGATCAAACATCAAGTGAATGTAAATGTTGTTTTCTTCTGAGAAATCGTGAAAAGAACACAAGTCTTCTTTTGTTTTATCAGAAACATACAGTCCCTGAGCACACAAGAATATGAGTAGTGATGAAATGAGATATGCATTGATTATGGTATTGATCGGGTGGAGCTGCGAAAAGACACAGGAAAATTAGCATCAAGCCTCTCTTCACTTTACCCCCTGTTGTATTATGAAAATCTGTGAATGATTTAAAGAGCTGTGCAAAGAAAAGACCAGAGAATGTTTACTTTCATTTGCATGAATGCAAAAAAAAAGTTCATTTTTAAAGCCACTTCAGCTTCTAAATCATTCTATTGTCACAAATTTATACTGGGGGAGGATGTCATCAGTCAAACCAGCCCGTCATAGCTATGCAAAATCTACCTCGTTAGTCGACTGTTCTTTGGCCTCAGAGGTTGCGTGTTTCTTCTCGGCCAGCTTGTCAACAAATGTACGCCTGTATACAGACGTCTTGTGCACCCATTCCCATAAATGTTTAGCAGGCAAAGAATATCAATTTCATTTGATTCACATCATGATCGGAAATTTATAAGGTAACTAGCTCCTTTCACTGGGCAGCAACAAATCAGATCACTGCTGCTCACAGAAAGGCAGATAAAGGCCAATTAGTGTCTGACTTCTTACTTAAACTTTATTTTTCTGAACCAGAGTTCTCTCACCTTTTGTGTTAACCCACATTTACATTTTTGCCACCAGTTAATTCAGGTGTCACCAAATCAAGCAGGGCTGAGATCTTGGATATTTCCATTTCAAGGTCTCTTCAGGGACGACAGAAATGTTCTTTTAAAGTTAGTCGTTCATTCGCTTATAGGTCTAAAGTTGGTAAGAACAATTTCTTCTCTGTTCTGACCCTGAAGCAGACCAACTCACCTTTAGAGGAACTTGGTTTAAATACCACTTGCCAATAGAGTTCCTAATGAGTCCATGCAGGATGATGCACCTTCTGTTATTTCACACCTAATCATTCAAGCGTTCTCTCCAGTTCAGATTTATTGATCACTGAGTATTGTTGTCAGTACTTAATGAGCAGCTGTATTGTTTTTTCCTGAGAGCAAGGAGCCTGTATTGCTTATTTTTACTTTGGAAGTGTTATTCTATGAGTAGTGTCACACTCTAACAGAGGTTTCACTAGTTTTACAGACGACAAGCTTCTTTAACAGGGACAAAATGTTACTTTAAATACAGAAGCTTTCAATCCACACCGAGTCTGATCGATCCCAACAAGCAATGGCTGTTTGAATGGGTCAAGTACAGACCTCTGACATTTCCTGTCTTATAATTATCCCAGTGAGCTAAGCATATAAATGCCAATCTGCCTGTGTTAAAAAAAACAGGGGCACAAATGGGGTGGTTCACACACTGTATGTCTTGTGAACATTTGAAAACATATTAGAAACTGATTGGGGAAGACGACATATATTATTTAAGTGTATGACAGCAGGAGTTTACAAAAGTTCTCACTCCCTTTGACCACCATGCAGCAGCTCACCAGGGAGTCGACAAAGAGACATCAGTATTCATTTGAAGTCGGGCTCACATCCCGAATTCCAACTCCTGGATTCACGCCCCTTTCAGCTCAGGTGCAACTTGTTGCAAGCTTTCATAAACAGTCTGTGGTGCGGAGAGAAGATAAAAAACTTTATGTTCATCCTACCTGGTTTATCTGCAATGAAGATTTGTTGTTTTATACTGTTCCCATTAGAAACAGTAGAAAATGAATGATTAAGTGTTGCTTGTTCATACAATGTTAATCAACTGGCACATTTTTCCAGACCCAAGTTCACAGCTTTAAAAAATAAAAGCTCTGTAACACAGTCCGCCTGTCGCTAACAACTGTTGTAGTTTATCCAAGGACGAAGATGCTCAACTCTGTCCACAGACTGAAGGCGCACAGTTTATTCCATTTTTATTAATATTGAAGGTATTCTGAGTCCACATTTGTCACTGCACTCCGCTGGACGAAAAAACACAAGTGTGAAGCAGATAAGATGAGTGGTGATGTTCCACGTACAGACAGGTTGGTGGAATTATTAAATAGATTATACAGTATATTTTCTCACACCATTTATAGTATAAACTGTAACAAGTTAGGTTTATCTTAGCTTAACACAAACAGGATCAAATGTAAGAAATGAACAAAGAAGTGAACCTTTCTACTAATTTTAGATATTTCCCTGCTCATGGCGAGGAATCCACGGAGCGACAGAGGATATTCTAATTTACACTGTGACACAGGTTTGAATCCTGATTGATACAGCAGCAGACGTCAGTGATGGACCGAGGCACAGACGTTACATGATTTGAGATTCTGGTTCTGTGAGAGCTCTTTATAATGCATGCTGCCGCATCCGTGCCTGTGAAATCGCTCCTCATTTTCTCATTGACGAGTGCAAGCGAAGTTCTCGTGAATTATTGAAGCGCCGGTTCCGAGGTTGTTGTGGTGTCTTTGATCAGGAGTTTGACACACTGCCAGCTGCTCTTATGCTCATTTGCAAAGATTAATCAAACTCTATTATCTCCTGTGTAGCAGGGGATAGCAACTGTAGCAGCTACTTGTTACACACACATTTTTTAAATAACACTGTAAACTGATGGTTCAAAGCTTATTACAGACCAGCTCATGAAAAACACTCATTACTTAGGTTTTTTTCATTAAGATTTGGGGTTTTCAGTCTCATCAAGTGGCCTCAGAGTGATTCTCTTATTTTTTGTTTAGTTACAGAAAGTTTACCACAAAGCTGTTTAAATACCATCAAACTCTGATACATTATCACTGTAAGATTGTTATTTTTCTCTTTCCTTCTTCTGCTTTTCTTTATCTGTTGTTGTTGTTCTATAAATTATTGGCGTGAGATGAAAAGAGACGCATGAATTGATTTGGCCTCGCCTGATATAAGTCAAAGATACACGATGATCAAAAGTAACAACAGTAACTGAAATGGGAATCTCGAAGCGATGCCTTTATCATTTACAGAACTATAGAAACAACAAATAGGTGGAGTGAAAAGATGAACACACAGCGGTGAAATGGAAACCTGTAGCTTCTGGCCTTTGTCTCATGGAACCAAAGTTTGCAGTGAAGTGTGTGTGGGTCAATCGTGAGTGTGTGTGTGTTTGAGGGTGTGGGGTGAATGAGGCTAATGCAACCAGAATGAACTGGTTTGGGAAACAAAAGCTGTGGGCTTGAGGAGGTGCATGAGTAGAGAGGCAGGAGACCAGAGACAAGTTTCCCCCTGACCTGATCGCCTATAGACAAGTAAGTGCTCTGCTCTCTTCTGCTCCTTCTTTACCTGCAATTATCTAAACTGTAGCTGCTGCAAAATGAAAAAGAACCAAGTAATCAACAATTGCTTTACTTTGTTTTATAGCGTTGACCGTTAGAAAACACGTCTGTCTGTTCTGTGGAACATATATCTCACAAAACATTTATCTTATGAGCTTCACAATTGGTATGTCTGTTGTAAATAGCCAGAGAAAGTGCACTGCTGATATGTGCATCCGATACTTTCAATAAAGATTGAATCTCTGTAGCGGGGGGTGTCTTCCTCCCCCCTGGGGTCAGATCAGCAGGTCGATCAGGGAGAGTGGCAACAGGTTTGCAGGATCAGGGCTCAGAGAGTGGAGGGGCTGGGCAGACTCAAGCTGACAGAGAATGGGTGAAGTGTGCTGCATTGGATCACATTTGAATCAACCTATTGCATTAATCTTCTGTATTTGTGCACATACATTGAGTTGTGAGGTCAGCAGAAACCCAGAGTCCAAACTTGGTCTTGTGTTAAGCGTGGTTTCTATTTGTCTTCCTGTTTAGCTCACCTTATACTTACCAGTGCAGGTGGTAGGGTCCAGGCAGGTGAGGCTATAAAGGTAAATGCCAGTGAGCGATGAAGGGGGGGTGGAGAGGGGAGTTGGCAACTTAATGTGAGGCTGTAGATGTTTCCCAGTTTTGTGCTCTTTCTCTCTTGTATGATTTCGTTTTGTTGGATTTCCCAGAGTTCATTTTGTCTTTCTGTTGTCGTACCTTTTTGTTTCTAAAATGCAAAACTCCTGCCTCTTCAGTATTCCCTTTTTCCTCCACCCCTATCTGGGGCAGTGGCGCTACACAAACCGTGGGTCAAAATAACAGCCACGTCTTTTGATTTTTTTTCATTCCACCATATCGGCCTGAAGCAGACATTTGTCCTCAAAGTAAATGCATTTCTTTGATCGCTGTTATATTTTATTTTATTTTATAGGTTTCATTTTCGAAAAAACACTGTCTATAAACTAATCACTGCAGATAAACCAGGTAGGATGAACGATACGTTTTCTAACATCTCTCTAGTGTTTATAAAAAGCTCTGCACACAACATCCGGCACACAAACAAAAAGAAATAGCAGTATATAGTAGAACAAGCAATCAGCCCTGCAAACAGGCGGGTTTGGAGCTTGCACTGATGTTACAATAGAAAAAATATTAGCTTTCCTAATAACTCCTAAAGTTTTCAGATAAATTGCTGTTTTCTTACACTCTCCACTGAGACTCATAATTACTTGTGGTTTCTGTGTTTGTGTTTTCCGAATTAGGTGTTAAGAAGAACCGATTTTTTTTTTTTTCAAAGGCACACATTTCAGATTCATATAAAGCTCCGTGCTGTACACTCTCACTCCTCTGCTCCTCTAACCCTGTTTTGTTTGGTGCTTATCATCTGCCCGCTGGCTTTCATTAGTCTTTATATAATTGTCCCATTTCCTAAGCCACATCCCAGCCCTTTCCCCTCATCTCAACTTTGAAATTCTGCAAGTGAAGCTCTTCTGTACACAGTCCACACATTCTGTCTATGGCAGAGAGGTGGAAATTTGGGGTAACGTGTGTGTGTTTGTGTCTCGGGCTGTTTAGGGTTTGATTAAAAATGTTTAAATTGTGTTTTTGCTTCCTGCTGATGCAGGCAGCTTGGTTGTGTTGAATTTGGAACATATCCAGTGTGTGTGTATGTGCGTGTGTGTTGGCACTCAGGCAGCTGGGTGCACGGTTGGGAGAATTACATGTTATTAGTGCTTTTTGCTCATTTGGCAACATAACAACTGGTGAGCAGTGACTGAAAGTAGAGAGGGCATATACAGATGTACAGAAGCCGCACACATAGAACTATAACTAAAATGTGTGTGTGTGTGTGTGTGTGTGTGGAGGACAGACCCTCAGTAAGTTTTTATCAAATGCCAACTATATAACAACAGGACTTGTACAGCGAGAATAGAACTGATGTGTGATTTTATATATACAACATATGATCAAGAATCATTTTTGGATCTATAGAAGCTTTAGGTCGTGTCTCCAGTCCTTTAGGATGCACAGATTTTTCAAACTTTGCAGAATGCCATTTTCTGACTTCTTAATGTCACTTAAACTATGACATCATAAGATCAATATAAACTCTATTGTTTGCAGAGATATCTTAGAAAATGTGTTTTTCTGACCATATTTTTTTTCCCTCAACCTTTTATTGACCAGCTCCAAAAGTTAATCATCTCGAGATACCCCAACCCTCACCGCCACACACACACACACACACACACACACACAAACACACACACACATAATATATAAATAGAAACTCTGAGACCCAGTAGGTCTTATTATATAAGTCAATAATGCGTGTTTAGTATTATTCTGTGTTGGGGTAGAGAGTGTTTACACTGGGTTTCCACCAGAGAAAGAGTTTGTTACATGTTTACCCTGCAGCGCCTGCACGTCTCATCTGTTCCAGGCCCAAAGTAATATTTATGGTTATGGTTTTATGGAGTCAGATGTTATCTTTGCCACGGTCAAGTGTTTGTTGATTTCTTCCTTTGTCTTTATTTTTTATACAGTCCATTCTGTCCACAAAAAGATTATTTGCATAGTAGCAAACTGTGTGTGTGTGTGTGTGTGTGTGTGTGTGCTCTTGGTATAGAAGGTCATATCAGGACCAATAAAACATTTCCATCATTTCCACTGGACTGCTTGTCAAAATCCCTAATTAGAGAATGAACAGAAAGACGCACACATGCTGTGTCACCAACTCTCAAAGCGCCCCCCCCCCCTCACTTCTAATGTGTTGGACAGAATCCAAACTTCAAACTCTGGTGGCTGGGGAGCAAAATTGGTCTTTTTCAAAGCTCTTATTAAGCAGAGCTTGTCAGATTAAAAAAATGAACATGCCACAGAAATTCACTTTGTCACCCTTTTATTAGGAAGTGTGTGTGTGAGTGCTATTAGTTATAATCCTAGTTCTGCAGTACAGACAAAGCCCTCTACAACTAAACTATGTAACGAGGAGATAAACCTGAATGTTCACTCTGTTTTGTGTATATGTGTGTTAATAAGTATAGCACAAAGTACAATAACTAGAATATGTTTTATTGATATTACACACGTTCCCTTTATGACATAGTTAGTAACATTATTAATAAGATACTCAGTGTATTTACCCTCTGCCAGTCAATGTGATGCAGAAATCAGATGTTTAAAGTGCATTTATGAAAAATATTTTCTTTAGATTTAGATTTCTACTGTCTCTAGCATCAAAGATCCTTGACCTTAACAATTACCAGAGTTTGATTCTGATTTTATTACTTAATTTCCTTTCTCTGACAAACTGATTCCAATAACCATCACGACCCAGATGAAATCTAATGAAATGAAATCTTTTTCTTTGTCTGCTTTCATGTTCATAAGAAAGTCAGAATGTTTGGTTTCCTGTTGTGTCTTTTGGCAGACGGACCTCCAGGCACTGACAGAGAGATGCAGAGCAGAGAGAAGTCACTCGAGGGAGTTTATAGTTTTTCTCTCTGATGACCAGGGATATTCTTTCTGGTGGCTCCAGCATTTCACATCTCCACAGTGACAGCAGCTTAGCGCTCACAAAGAAATGTCAGTGGCGCATTATATTTTTCTTTATCCTTGATCTAAATCCCAAATGTCAGACCTTAAAAAGCAGTTTGAAATCTCAAGTATTTATCTGAACTGTTCAATAGGTACGACTGAATAATCAAGTTGAAGTCTGGGGGAAAAGTTGAAATATTATTTATTAAGATTTTAACAAAAAGCAACCCAGCAAGTCTTTGCCATGGATTGACAGTGCTGTAAAAATACGCATGAGTGTCCCAGATTCTAATTCAAATGTTATAAATATCATATACAGTATACAGTATCCATAGCTAGCTACAAAGCACAGATACAGAATATGTCATGTGAAGTAAACATTTGGCTGATGTAGGCCGAGCGTCCTTATAAAGGTTTGATCAGCCCAGTGCAGACTCCCTGTCTGCCAGGCAGCACACATGCAGGATGTAAATGAGACCAGTGTTGACACACATTCGTATGCAGCCATATTTTTCAAAGCTGTTATGCAAACAAATCCTCCAATGCAGGGGTCCTCTGTGAACCCACAAAGACTGGGGGCGGGGCTGTTCCTGGAGATACCAGCCTCCACAGATATCATTTCCTGAAGTGACATTTCTGTGATTAAACTGCGACAGCAAAACTCTAACATTAAATTACTTTTCTATCAACATAAGAAGGACAGGTTGTCAATTAAAGCATTTAGACCAAAATTATAGTTTCTGCATTTGTGAATAAGCAATTGTGAAAAGGCAGTTTTTGTTTAATGGCGCTTGAAAAAGGACTCTCTCTGCACCACTGTGTTTGAGGAATATTCCAGCTTGTCCCAGAAACAATTATAAGATGAGGAGCTTGTTCAAAGTGATGAATGAAACGACAGCACAACATCTGTGTGAATGTTAATAAACGCCCCTATCGCTGAATAGGGCCTGTTTATCAAGATCAGGTTCTTTTTCGGGTGATGTCCCACCTCTCCAAAAAATGTCAATGGCAATCTGCTCGGTAGTTTTTGAGTCTTTTTGCTGACAGCAGCAAAAACAGCATTGAAAACATACATCCCTTGGCGGAGGTAATAACATCTGCCTCTGTTAACAGCTGTTAGCAGCTCTGAGGCCTAATATTTACCCTTATCTCTGAGCCGTTGAAAAAGTTAATAAAAATGTCCTGTTCAATCCAATGTGAGACTCGACAATGATACACCTGCACACAATACTTCCACTGCTACAGCTCTGCTTCAGGCAGATTTTATTGGAGTTATTGCTCAATAGCCTTATAAGCAATATAATGAGACTGATTTTATCACTTAATTACCTTACTGTCATACATGGCCCCTGTGCTCGTGTATGTGTTATTGCTTTGTTATTGCATTATTAAAATGTGAAATATGACATTTGCTATAAAATATTATATAACATATGTTACTTACATGCACATGCATCAGTCAGTTTTTAGTTATAGGAAGCATCCTGTTGTTAACCTCTAACCTCAAACAAACTTCTGTTCCTCCCTCAACACTGTCTGGAATCAATGATGTTGACCTCTGACCTTCACTCTGAGTCTTAATGAGCGTGTTATTTACTATCATTACCCTTGTTATTTACTAGGTTGTTGTTTTTTTAGGCAGTCATTTATTATAAGGAGTAATAGTAAAACAATTAGAAAATTAATAGCAGAAATTCTCATATCTCAGTTCTTCCATTGTTCTGTAATCAGCAACATTATTTTAAAAACCCTTGTTGCCACAGACTCTATATTCTTTATTCCCCTTGCTGCGACTTCAGTTGATCCTTGAAAAGCTCGGAGTGGTTTCCTCATGGGACGCTGCTGCGGTGGTTTTCAGCTCCCGTCCCTGGACAGGCTATTAGAGCAGCAGTGCATAATTGCAGCCTGGATGGTGTTTGAGACATGCACTCCATCGTGCTCCACCAGCTTTGCTTTGCACTGTGGATCACCGACTTATAAAAGAGACACTGGGAAAAAAGTCATCAGATGTTTTGTTTGAGCTGCTCATAGAGACACCACTTGGAAATCTATGTAAGCTACACATGTAGTTCTGAGCCCGTTCTAAACCTGCCTGCAGTTTGCTTTGTCTGTGTTTAAGCACTGGAGCTGCTTCAGAATGATTCCTTGTCATTAGGGAGTCCTCCTCAAACAGTTCTACAATATACTGTCTGCGCTTTTATATACAGTTGAAACTTGTGTTCATCCTACCTGGTTTATCTCCAATGAACATTTTACAGTCAATGTTTTCATGTTTGTTAAGCAATCGACTATCTCCAGATACAAGTTCATAACTTAAAAGCTCTGCAATCCAGCTGGATATATAGGACTGCACCAACAAATGATCTTTGTGATACTCATGAAATTAGTAGGTTTATTTATTATATGCTTTTAAACTTATTTCACATTGTGGTGTGCATCGAGCTGAAGGTTCATGGTTGGCCTTGAAAGAGCAGTTTTTAAAAAGGTTTTCATCACATATCCTTAAACTTTGTCTTTGTGGAGCGTGCGGCCTCCTCATGGCCTTCCACGACAGTTTGTTCTGTTCTCATGAAGCCCCCCCACAATGAATCTCACAGGATGTGACTGAAAGCTCCTCAAAACACGAGTAAGTGGACCTTGTGACTAATAGGTCGTGATTCAGGTGATTACTTTACTCACTTTTTTACTCGAAAAGAAAAAGAAACTTTTCCCCCATGCGGATCAGATCACGTCAGCCCTGAGGCGAGGGGGGGATACAGGAGATGTCTGACGCTGCTGGCTGGTGTGGCAAAGCTAATGATGGTTAATGATGCCTGTTGGAAAAGTTGAAGTCTGAGCTTGAAGATAAAACAGTTTCGTGGAGTGAAAAATGTGTGCTTGCTTATAGGCATCTATCTTCTGATGGTCTTTTATTTTTTCATGGCAAAGTAAAGCATCATTTCTGGAGATGTGTTCGCTGTGCAGCACGGCTATAGATCAATGAAGGAGTATTTTATATATTTGTTATTAGCAGCTCACCACTGTTTCTTGAAACACTCTTGTATAGATAGATGTTAATGTGATGAGATACAGGTGAAATATCTGTGCACTGTCTAAGCAATTGCTGTAATTGCACCCTAATAACTAAGAAACGTGCATGAACAATGAACACAAAGTTTCCTAACTTAAATCTGCACCATAGACGGGGTTTTTTTAAAAGCTCCGCACACACACAAGCTCCAACGCACAAACAATTTACAAGTGACAGTATATTGTAGAACTGTTGTATGAAGGGGACCAGTGTTCAGCAGTCCCCTGTTGGGTTGTTATGAGCACTGATGGAGGATGTGAGTGTAGCAGATAATGATTACACGTACACTAACCCTGGGCTGGGAGTCAACTCTTAATGGCTCAGCAGATGTGATGCATGTGAACCTTTGTGATGTTGATTTTCCCTCTGCTGTGTTTCTATAGGATGAGGGCTGCACTGCTGCTGCTGTTATTCGCTCTCATCACCGCTGTGGCTGGAGGGAAAAACAAAGGTCACCATCCAGTCCATCTATTTCTCTGTCCCTTTTTGTTGTTATTATGAATAAGAAGTTTTTTATTTCATATTTTTGCATTCAGTGGGAACATCTGTGCATTACAGAAACATGTAATTCATTTGAGTACAGTGATGTCCTGCAGATGAGCTGCACATTGTTATATTTATTTATATACTATGGTGTAATAATCTGGGCATTTAAAAAAAATACTTCAACATTTTGGAAAAGTGTTATTTTTCAGTTGACACAAGGCTGTGATATATAATGTCTATGTTAAATACAGAGCTGGAGTCAGGATGTAGTTAGGCTGAAGGAGATGGGCTGCAGGGGTTTTAATGGCCACATCCACCATCAGGTTGTTCAAAGAGGAATCCACAGAAAAGTGCTGCGCCAGAGCATAAAAGAAACATCATAGCTCTGGATCAGGAGGAAAGATCACGACTGGGCCCAAAGATGTTAGAGACACACACCCAGGTCTGATCAGCCTGTGGTGGGCCTGCCGTAGCAGAGGGTGTCTTGTGATTAAAAGGCCAAAACATGCTAAGGCAGCTAAGGTACACAGCTGATGATATGTCTCTGATGATATTATCTATGTATGTTCAGTCAACATGTATTCTTATGCATGTGTTTCAAAGTTTGTATGACATGGGCACAGTGGAGGTGGATGCATGATACATTTCCTTTCACTAACACAAACTACTCACAGCATTACAACTTAAATACATACTGATGCATGTGGTGTAAATGCTACACAAGTCCGAAACACCAAAGACCACATTTCTCACATTTGTCTCTGAGTTTGTGGCTTTGCACATTGGAATAATACTTATAACTATGCATGTCTCGTCTAAAATCACATGTTAATGGACTTTATTCTGCTCTTAGAGAAAAACAAACCCTCCCAGTATGGGTCAGAATGCACCGACTGGCGCTATGGCAACTGTGTGCCTAGCAACGGAGACTGTGGAGCAGGATTTAGAGAGGGGTCATGTGACCAGCAGACCAACAAGATGAAATGTAAAGTACCATGCAACTGGAAAAAAGACTTCGGAGGTACACACAAACACAAACACACACACACACACACACACGCACACACACACACACACACACACACACGCACACACACACACGCACAGAGTGAGAGATAAACTTAGACAAGACAAATTGTATGCAGTTCAATGTAAAGTCTGCAACTAGAATCAATGCATTAGATGTGACCTCGCTCTATTGTCCCTCATTAGACAAACTGACGTTGACTGAATACAGAGGCAATGGAAACAATATAAAAGCACTTGTAACATGTGTTGCAGCTTTAACTGATTCAGCCCTGAATATATGTGATGCAGTGTTTGTTGCGTGTTGTCTGCAGCTTGTACAACTTTTTAGAAATTGTGCACTCAGGGTTGTGATGGGTTTTCAGTTTTCAGGTTGGTCGTCTAGTCAGAGAGGCTTCAAGTTGCACTGCTGCCGTATTATTTATTTCATACAACTTGTTACTGTACAGGAACACTAAGCAAACTTCAAACTAGCTTAACATGGAGGTTGTAAACTAACAAATTGTAAAATTGAAGATTTATTAAATGAAAAAAGTTGTGGTAGGTTTGACATTGCAGCACAAAGAGTGTAGGTGATAGCAGTTTATACATGTGTTATGGTTTCCAAAGAAGGAGGTGTTTTAATTGAGAGTTATTTAAAGTGCCCCCTGTGAATGGGGAAGGATAAGCAATTTTCATAATCCCAATAGATGAAGCTTGCAGGCATATGTATGAGAATTCAGTGGTAACCAAGTCCAAGGACAGTCAGAGCTTTTAATAAATAACTAAGGCAGGACAGATTGTGTGTGAATCAAAATTTCATTTTTGGAATAAAATAGAAATTGGTGGAATCGGTAAATGTTATCTAGTTGGTGAAAAGCTGATGGTAGACTTACAGCATTTTGAAAAGACTGTCAATAGATTACCATGAAGTGAGAACAACAGATTTAAGACCATTGATATATATGAAATAATATTTGATTAGCATGTGTAACCTGATGGGGCCCTGGGTGGAACCTTGAGGTGCACTAGATTTAACTGTGGAAGGTCGAACAGGTTAGTGCACATTGATTTATGTTTGACAGGTAAAACATGGAATAACACTGATGCAGAACCTTAGAAGCATGTTCAAAATGTAGCTGTTTTTAATGCCCCGTGTATCTACAGCCCCTGATACACTGGTTTCCACTGGACTCTCCTGCAAACAGAAACTGAAAATTGAAAAGCCATATCACTTGTGTTCCCTTGTCCTTCTAGCTGACTGTAAATATCGGTTTGGCAGTTGGGGAGATTGTGATCCGGGCTCCGGCTCAAGAACCCGAACAGGGACATTGAAGAGGGCTCTCTACGATGCAGAGTGTCAACAGACTATTTCTGTGTCCAAACCGTGCCAGGGAAAACCAAGAAAGCAAACAAAGGCTAGACTGACGAGCTCACTGCTGGATGTTTCTCAGTCTCAGTCGAGAAGAAGGAACTCTTTGGCCTCAGCTTTAGTCACGAGCAGTTAATAGTTGATTTGTTGTGTTTTTTTTTGTGAGTGTGTGGAATGTAGTTATTAACGCCACCATGATCAGTTAGCAGCTTCTACATTAACCTGATTTACATCTGACTTCACTTCATTAACTTTCCTATATGATCGATAGAATATTTGCCAACATGAAAACAAAATATGTATTTTTTGTCTTGTAAGCAGGTGTAAATAAGTTTTCTATTTAATTGAGGACTGTTTCATGAGCGCCCTCTTAGTGAATTCAATACAATACTGGTCTACTGAGTGTAACCCTACAGTTGTGAAAATTAACCAAGAAGATATAAAACGGCCTAAATGACTTCGCTCTAACGCCAACTTGACTTTTGGAGAATGGAAAAATCTCCTTAGCCTCTGTCCAGCACTTTTGTGTATTGAGTTGTAACAAACATTTGCCCCTGGTTCCACAGTTTCCCCTTGTTGTCTTTATTGCTTTGTGATACCTTTACATTCATCTCCTCTTCACCCGTTGTCTTTGTCGTTTGACATTAGTGCCTATTTTTGTGTGTAACAAATAGAAACAAAGCCATGACTGTCAGAAGCAGTCGTGTGTCTGACAGCTGGACAGTGGCCCCAACACTTAGAGATTTATAGCCTGATCCCCATACACATATTTCTGTGCCGTCCTCGACCATGACGAAAACATGACAGCAGCACAGAAGTCTGCATGATGAAGCGAGCATGACCCAAAGCTTTATAACCAACCATCGCAGCTAATTCTAAATCGAAGGGATATCTGTGTTATTAATCTTCCTTTACACCACTATCAACTTTAAATAATGTGAAAAATGTTGGCTGAGGGCGTTCTCAATATCTGCGCCCTCACCACCAAGCCTTTAATAAAATAAATGCACGTGGGCTCCGCGCTAGAGATGGGAGCTATTTTAATTTCCAAGTTGTCCCAGCTTGTCTTTGATTCTGAATTATTTTATTAATCTGGGATGTGTCAGTAGCAGACAAACTTTTTTTACTGTATGCCGGAGAGCTGGGGCTGATTGTGGCTCGACAAACACCATCCTTTTCTATAATTCTAACCACCACTGTCACTAGTTAATCAAAATTGCCTTAGGACCACAGAGGCTCTCCATAATCCATTACGAGTCTTTCACTTTGAATGTTGTTCATACATTTTGACTATTTTCTCCACTGTAGCTGTAACAACACATCTCAAACTTTTTATGAATAACTAAAAGTGGATATCGCAGGACTACAGGATCTCTAAGGAATTAACACAGCTACAGAACTTAGTTGAGCAACTCACGGTTGTATGAAAAAAGCAGAATCTACTCTTTGTCCTTGACTGTTAAGTTGCTGTTACTGTGTCGTAATATTATAACAGTTACTAATATTTGTTGATTATTAAAGGCTGACACATTTCTCACTATGACGCTAAGTTCTGCAGCTTGTGATGTCGATGATACGGTGTCATGTGACTTTGAACTCATTTTAACGACCTGATTTGCCTGTCTCTCCACAGCACATTCAGTCTCACACATGTTTTCACACACCTAGGATCCATCAGTCACGCCTTTGATGTAGGTTGGAGAAGAAAGCTTTCATCAATAAATAAACAGCACCCTGCTGAAAATGGATTCTGCTGTCTTAATTTCTGCCGCCGACACACATCTGGTTGAGGCTCCGCTGGTGTCGTTTATCCAGATGTTTGTGACCTTTTCCATTCACCTTCAAGAGACTTCCCAATGTCTTTTCTCACAATATTCAACTTTCAGATCTTTCTCTTGGTTCTGCTTTTGATTTTATATTCTCTGTCTGTTCCTCAAGGGCTCTTCTAAGGTAGTTGAGACGTCGCACACAAGTGCAGTAACATTTATCACAGCTGCAAAAACCACACAGTGGAAGCTCAATCACAGCAGAAGTGAGCGACAATGGATTGCTGACCATGAAAACAGAATGACATTTTGTTATGCTGGGGCTTTTTCAGGTGTGTTTTCCAGTAACAAATCCAGAGACAAATTTTATTTTTAAAAAACTCTCACATAACCACAGCGTCCATGGTTGGTTTCCAGCTGTGGACCTTTCCCCCCCTCTCTCCCCGTGTCTCCTGTCCGACTCGTCACAGTTGGTCCGGTCTAGTTTTTAATTTGAAAGTGGGACAAGTCGCTGCAGTGACTCTTCTGGAATTGGTCAAATGGCAGTTTCACAGGACGATGCGAGATGATGATTATACAAAGCATCATGCTTTGTACGAAACTACTGAGTGGTCAAAAAAAATACACAAAAAAGAAAAGAAAATACACAAGGTGCAGTGGAAGTCCAAATAATCACTTCCACACAAAAACGAAAGAAGGAAAGATTAAATAAATAAAGTGCAAAGGAAGTTGTGAGGCTGGTGTGCAAAGAGTGGTGGTAGAAATCAGGTATGTATTTATGACTAGCATGCAAGAGGTATATACAAATATATATATGTACCCAGACCACCTGACCACATTTAGTACAAGTGAGTTGGTGGGAGAAGCTCTTTTTGTTCTCTTATGCCTTTTCCTCCAGGAGTTAGGTTATATTATTTATTTATGTTTGTTGTTTTGAGCATTGCTCCCCTCTGACATTAATAAACTGCTGCCCTCGAGTTTTCTTAACTTTGATTGAGGAGACACACTGCATTTTATGTCGAGGTTTCCCCGAGACCAGGGATATAACAAGAGGATAAGAGGTAGAAAGAGCAGACGTCTGAAGTGGTAGAACTATTTTGTTTAGTCCAGCTCAGTGACCAAAGATCTGGCAGAGGCAGAGAGAACTAGGCTAATTTTCTATTATACAAGCAGGCATCTTTAAGCTTACATCCATTTTGTTCAGACCACAAGAAGGATGGAAGTGCTGCATCACTGCCCACATCTGTAAGCAGTGGGTAAACTCCTCAATGATAGCAATGCTAAGAACAATATCTGCAGTTAGAAGTGAAAAAGAGATGAGACATTACAGAGGAATATCTAAGTAATGGAACGTGAAGCTATACAGAGATGAGCCCCTCATGGAGAAGGCCTCAGAGAAAGCCTGGCAGGAATCACAGACTCTTACACGATGGAGCCCCGCAGGACATTTTATCTCATTTACTAATGAGCACGGCCTTGTCAAAATTTAATGAGCTTTTGTTCTACACTCCGCGCTCAGGATATTGGATAAGAGCACACAGAAGAAACTAAAAGTCAAAGAGGTCATTTTTGTTTTTGTGAAGAAAGTGCTTGGTGAAACACAGCGCTCCAGTGCCTGTCACATAGAACTGTGTTTGCAGGCCTCACTCTGAGCTGCAGGAGCCACTGGTGGGACCACTGGGGACGTGATCAACGATTCTGAGGTGTGCTTAACTTTGACCTGACCTCCGTACTGACCTCTCTGTGTCTTGGATGCATATGTATTCACAGATGTAGTGCTTCATTCATTCATTCATTCATTCAGTCATAGAATAAGAAAGCATACTGAAACACAATCCTTTCAATTGTCCGGTTCGGCACTGTAACCGTCATAGAGCCAACTTCCTCCATCCCCTATGTGTATATACATATGTATGTGTATAGATTTTTTTATTTTTATATTTGCATATATTTTTCTTTATTAGTAAGCTAGTCTGTTCAAACTCTATTTCTGTATTTAATCTTTATCTCTGTGTCATTGGAGGTCTATTGTTTGACACCACAGTGCATGAACTTGAATCTTTAATCACTATTATATAAAATGCCAAATCATAATCACACATTAAAATATAAAATACATGTCATCATCAAACATTAAAAGATGAAACCCAGTGAATAAATTCTTCTAATTGAATCTGAAAGATCAACACCTGCATTCTGATCCTCTGCCTGTACACGACCAGCCATGTTTGAAGGAAAGTATTTCAGCTGCTTATAATTTATATGGAATTTATTTGACAGTGTTGTATTTTCAGGGTCAGTCACATACTGTATGTACTGTGTGTACTGTATGTACTGTGAGGTCAGCTCTCCTTCAGGTGCAACTGGAATACTTACAGTATTATGCTGAGTGTGTCTGCGTGTGTGTTTTCATTAAGTGATCATAACAATATGTACAATTAATTAACCACAATGGTCTGACAGCGATTCAAAATGTATTTCTACAGTCATTCATTAGACACAATTAGAATTAGTCCATACATTAATGTGGGTATATAAGCTGATTGCTCCGTATGTTTGTGGACAGGGTGTGAATGACTACTAACTTTTACTTATTCTTTTTATTTAATAACTTTTGGTATCATATTCTAGAGAGATTGGACACCACTTAAATCAAATGAGTCGAGAAGAGCAATGTGTCTGTGCGTGACTCAGCTGTGGACGACTTCTATTTTCTCATTTAAAATCTGACTTGTGTCTATCAGACTTCTTTAAAATGAAAATTGCCTTTTAATATTTGTGATTCCTTCATTTTTGCTGTGAGCATGATTTTACGACCTGTCTGTTTTATTTTGCTGCCACTTTGTAACTTTGATTTTGAAAAGTGCTCTATAAATAAAATTATTATTCTTATTATCTTTGATGACATACGTGTGTAACATCTGTTTGTGCGACGAAGCCCATGATGTCATAACCAGACACAAGACGTGACTTGAAGTTACATCACTTCCAGTGAGATGCTGAACTAAACACAACTATTGCTTCAGCTCACTGCACTTGGACAAGGTGACATGAGATCCATGAGATTTTTTCAGGGGCATTTTCTTTTGTGTTTTGAATTTGACAGTTGACAGTGAAATCAGAGACTCAGAGATTTGCCACAAGCTTCCTCCAGGAGGAAATCCAACTATTTTGTTCAACCATTAAAAAACGCCACTAAGGCAATATTTTATTGTGGAAGACGTGCAGAACAGCCTTTTTCTCAAATCACTGCCAATGTAGCAAAGTTATTATTATTACAATAATAGTAATAGGCTGCTGTATTTGTCACAATAGAACAATAAAAATATGATACCGAATATAGTAGAAGTATCGTGTGTGTGTGTGTGTGTGTGTGTGTGTTACCATTTCCTGTTCCTGGTGATGATTATTCGTCCTTATAGTAAGACGAGGATCATACCTTTGCCATGGCAACGCACCGCCTCTCCACTTCTCTCTGCATGAGTGACTGCTAAACACCAGCGACTGCCATTGTTTTGTCTCATGTTCCACGTGTGTGAGATGCAGATGTGTGTGTCTGGTCGGGTCAGAGTACGAAAGAAGACGTGTCAGATTCTGACCAGGACGAGACGATCCGTTCAGCTGCTTCACTTTGTGAAATAATAATAACTCTGACTCTGACTCCTAATGATTTGCCTCTCCAGATCTAGGTCAGCTCTCATGTTCTGATCTCTGTTTTCCATTTGACTGGAATCGACATCGGGATAAATGATATGTGGAGTTTCTATCTGTGTTGTCATGGTTACAGCATGACGTCGAC